GGCAGGCTGGCCCCCAACGCCACGTCTCCCCTGCTTCCAAGGTTACAAACCTGGAATCGTGTGTTCGAAAGGAAGTATCAGGAGTTGTGTCATGGTACACAGCCAGCACACATGCTGCAGAATCAGGGGTTGAAAAGGACATGCGACGTGCTCCCCTGTCGTTTAGTAAGTAATAAAGCGAAATACAGGCGGTATGCCAAAACTTACCCTGTCTTAGATGGACGTATCCTGTCAGTGTATCGACATGTGTTTGAAGAAAATTTAAGGAACAGTGAGGCTGTTATTAAAAGGTAATAAACCGTTTTTGTGGTGTTTTAAAAATGTTGCTACTTGTGAGATGATGTGAGAGTTACTTACGGGCGCTTTTAGGAACTGTTTAACATAGAAAGAATGCTAACTACAAAGTCCAGAGATTAAAAAATTTTTTAAAAAGTTGTTTTTTTACCTAACCATTTTGAAGCTTAAACTAGTTTCCTGGGTGCTCTTTGCTCGGGCAGCTTCTCAGCAGAGTGAATTTTAACAAGGATCAGCACTTAAAAATTTCAGCCCCCCAAAAAGAGGTGCCTAAATACTGACTGAAATGCTGACGCCTAGGTGCAGGCTGTATTTAAAATAGTGCCGTGTGACATTGACTTGTATATATTGCCACGAAGTATTTTTTTCTAGACCTTCATACAGTTTGTTTTGTGGTTGATTTTGCATGCAAAGATGTAAATGGTGACAAATCCCTCCTGAAAGGGTAGGTGACAGTCGTTGCAATTAATCGTGATTCACTGATAAAAGCAAGAAAATGTATTTTATGTGTTTGTCCTTAAAGACTAGATGGCAAAAAAGGCCTTTGTTCAGAGGAATGATACATGAGCTGCAAGCAAAGCTGTGGAAAACACACTGTGCCCTCCTGTGGTGGCATTTATGACATTATTAAAAATCCTTAGCTTTTTTCTCCTGAGGTTTTTCAACCTCTACAGTCTGCAGGAAGCTGCAGTAAGATAACAGTCTCGTGCATAAATAGTTATGTCAAACAGAATTTTATTTAAAGATGATGCATCTTGGCAAAAAGTAGTTTAAATAAATGAAGAATCTGGTTTATTTAAGACCAAAATTGTTTGAGATACCGCATTTGTTTACAGTTTAATTAACTTTATCTGTACTTGATGCTGCCCTGACAATAACATGGGTAGTCACTTCCTCTCATGATGATGGTAGTGATGCTGTCGTGTCCACTACTTTTAAAGTATATCTTCCATGCTGTAGAGTGTGCATTTTTCTAGATTTAGTAATTTATTCTACTTACCAGTTACTGATTTTTGTCAGATAAACTTGTTGAGGGGAACTGAGGGAGGAAGCCCTTGGCTGGATTCTTCCCTGGAGTGGTCGGAACATGGAGGTAAATGTCCATGCTGAATTCCGACTAGCAAATTACGATGGCTTTATTAATAGCTGCAAATTTATAGGCCAACATTGTTGCAGGGCAGTATCTCTCAGTCAGCTTTGGTCGCTGATGATCAGCCCCCAGTCTGTACTCCACTGGTGAGGTTGTTGGCAGAGATTAAGTGTGATCATATATTGTGAAATACGGTGTATATAGGCTATGATATGGACTTAATAACGACCACTAGCTATGAACATAACCTACAGATAGAATATTTATATTATTTCACTTTTTTGGGGGTCCTTATTAGCCAATTTTGAATAACAAAATGAAAATGCTTGCTTTAAATAACAAACCTTTGCTTTTTATTGCACTTTGTAAGAAACAATAATCCAAAAATGCGAATTCCTCTTCATTCTCATACTGTTGATATGAAAACTGTGCAATACAGTTAAGTACTATGTTAAATCTACCGAAACGTAACTTGTAAGTAAAGGTGGTTTTCATTAACTGAAACTTTGTTTTTTAAATCAGATACTCAGAATTGCTAGAGGTGGCCAGTAAAGGAGGGGGAGAAGATGCCATCTTGCGTCACACTCAGAGAAACAAGAAGCTGTTTGTTCGTGAACGCCTGAAGTTGCTACTTGATGATGAGTCTTTTCTTGAGCTGTCTCCACTGGCAGGCCTCAATATGCCGTATGGTGATGTCCCTGCTGCTGGGTGCCTTACTGGTAATTGCTAGCAAATGTAATATTGGATGTAATGGGAAATGAGGAGGTTCATTCGTTTCATTGCTCATATCTTTAAATATGATTCATATTGGATCTAAAGATAGATATGGGCTCAGGGTGTTGTTTTGAGCAGCCCATGTTGGAGATGCAGCCCAGAGGGAAGAAGGATTTTGAACCAACAGGATCCTTAACATAATTTGAGAGGTGCTGTTTGGGTGCAGTGATGAGTAAGTGATTGTAGGCAGCATACATTAGTTGTAGTCTGTGTGTGCTGCGCCCTTTCCTGTAGTAACCAGCCTTGCTCACTGAAGTTAAGGTGTTTGTTCTTGCCAGGAAAGGTTGCATGTAATCAGGTTTATGGAATATTTTAGTATCTTAAGAATGTGCTTTCCTGGGAAGGTGAACATCAGCTCTATCCAGTAGCAGCTCCCAGCAAGAAAGAGTTCAACCGCAGCTATATTATTCTGCAATTTTTGCTGGGAAGTCTGGGAGAAACCTTTAAAGAAAAAAGGTTCTTTAATTTCTTCTAGATTCAGTAATTTATTCTACTTACCAGCTACTGATTTTTGTCTCAAAAAATTTAGGAGGATATGTCAAATAAGCTGTTGTCTGTTAAAGGAAAAGGGGATCAGGTTACTGTGAGACACAGGAGCTGTGACATTTGTCATATTTTTCAAATTATAGACAAGTCTTTTCA